AACCGCGGTCCCTGTGCTTTGCTAAGCTTGTTCTAAGTAGGTGCTTTAGACCACTGAGCCATCTCACCAGCCCTAAATAAATAATTAAAAAAAAAAAAAAAAACAAATAAATCTAGGACTAGAGGAGGGCTTGAAGGGAGGGTTCCTGTCCACAGCAGCCCCTCCTTGGACTCCTCAGATCTTTCACATGACCTATGACCTGGCCAGCGCTGTGGTTCGCATCTTCAACCTCATTGGGATGATGCTGCTGCTCTGTCACTGGGATGGCTGTCTGCAGTTCCTGGTCCCCATGCTGCAGGACTTCCCTCCCGACTGCTGGGTCTCCATGAACCGCATGGTGGTGAGAAGTCCCCACAGCTCTGCTGCTCCTGGGATTTCTAAGGGCTCTTGTGCCTGAGCATCTGGGAGCAGGTGGTAGGAGATGATCAAGAAAGAAGATAGGAGCAGATGGGGAGGAGGGAAGAGAAGGGTAAGAGATCCACTAGTATCTGTATACTGGAAAAAAACAAGAAACCTGGGCAAAAGCCAAGGCCCCCAATCTACAAGAGTTCCCTTTTGCTTTGGGGATCCCAGAACCAAACAGGTGCCACCAAGAGTAAGGTGTGAGGCAGAAGGGGCAGGCAGAACTAAAAGTGAGAGAAAGAGGTGGGTGCAGATCATGGCTCGAAAAACTGTGGCCATCTTTGCAATGTGATCTGCCTCCAGAACCACTCATGGGGCCGCCAGTACTCGCACGCCCTGTTCAAGGCCATGAGCCACATGCTGTGCATTGGCTACGGGCAGCAGGCCCCTGTGGGCATGCCCGACGTCTGGCTCACCATGCTCAGCATGATAGTGGGTGCTACCTGCTACGCCATGTTCATCGGCCACGCCACTGCCCTCATCCAGTCCCTGGATTCCTCCCGACGCCAGTACCAGGAGAAGGTCAGCAGGGACAAGAGAGTGAAGGGGGGGGGTGCTGGAGACTGAGTAACTGGATTCGAGGTCCATTCTGATGTTTGCTCCTGTTGGATCTCTGTGTTCTTCCCTGCCCCGTGTCCATTTGTTCCATGCCCCCTATGACCTTTTCCTTGTTTGGACCTGTGTCTCTGTCACTGGACTCCTCCTCTGCCCATATCTGCATTTTCCTGTCACTGTGTCCTGTATGTGTCATCTCTGCATCCACCATCATTCTCACATCCTCTGTGGCCCTGTGCACCTACATCTGACTGCTGGGTCTGACCTATCTGTGACCTTCTGTATACCCTGTCTGTTTCCTGCTGGCCGTGGGTTGGCCCTGAAGTACAAGCAGGTGGAACAGTACATGTCTTTCCACAAACTGCCAGCTGACACCCGGCAGCGCATCCACGAATACTATGAGCACCGCTACCAGGGCAAGATGTTCAATGAGGAGAGCATCCTGGGTGAACTGAGTGAGCCGCTGCGAGAGGTGGGCCAGGCTGGGCCCTCAGCAGGCCTCTTCCGGGATCTGGGCTTCTGGAGGGACTTTCTAGGGGTGGTATTTATCAGCAGGAGCTCCTACAGGGGAGATTTGCAGAGGGCCCCAAGTATTGGGGGGAAAGGAGTTTATGGGCTGAAGTGTTTCTAAAACATTTTACAAGGGTGGAGTATCCATGGGAAGGTTGTAGAGGTTTCTGTTGGGGGGGGGGCTGAGTCCATGAGGCCCTGTGGGAGTGCTTAGAAGACAAGGGTTTAGGGGTGGTCCAGGGCCCCTACAGCACCCTTATCTTTTGACAGATTTTTTACCCAAGGGATGGATTTTTCTGGAAACAGATGGGTTTGGAGGGGGCATCTTGGGCCAGGGGGCACAGCCTATCTGACAGGTCCCTCTTCTGCCTAGGAGATCATTAACTTCACCTGCCGGGGCCTGGTGGCCCACATGCCACTGTTTGCTCATGCCGATCCCAGCTTTGTCACTGCAGTTCTCACCAAGCTACGCTTTGAGGTCTTCCAGCCGGGGGACCTTGTGGTGCGTGAAGGCTCTGTGGGCAGGAAGATGTACTTCATCCAGCATGGGCTGCTCAGCGTGCTGGCGCGTGGCGTCCGGGACACCCGTCTGACTGATGGATCCTACTTTGGGGGTCAGCAAGCCTCGGGGAGGGTGATGGGGTCACAACCACTGGATGGAGAGCAACTGCTCCCGGGATCAGGGTCTCTACCCAGCTGGGCCACACAATCGTTTGGTGTTCGGTGTAGGCCTGCTCAGTGAGCATCTAGTTTTCAGATCTTCTCAGGAGATTCCAGTGCACAGCCAGGTTGAAAATTACTGGGATGGAGGGCCTTTTAGGAGTCTTACCACTGACATCCAAGGAACTTTAGGAAAAGATAAGGAAGAGGCACAGTTGTCCCAGGGCTTGAGCTTTATGTAGCTGTCCTGGTGGCATGGATCAGGGACCTGGCCTATGACAGTGGGGTGGGGCAGCTTTGAAGCTGGTGTCTAAAGTGATTTCAGGCTCATGTAATCTCCCAGCTCCAAGCCACCCAAGACCTCCACCATCTCCATCCAGGTGCACTTTGCCCTCCCCACCTTGGCACTGTGTTTCTCCTTCGGGGTGGTCCTTGGGCTTCATCCTATGGGATGGGAAGGGAGGTACACAGGGTGACTTGTTCCAGCTGGGCCCCCGGGGACAGCAGTGGAGCTGCGTCTGGGGTGAAGGTAGATGGAGTCACCGGGAGGCTGGAGGCCAACAACCTGCTGGTTCCTGCTTGCTTGTCAGTTGGGTTTTTTGTTTTGTTTTGTTTTGTTTTGTTTTGTTTGGTTGGTTGGTTGGTTTTGGCAGAACTGGGGATTGAACTCAGGCCCTTGTGCTTGCCAGGGAAGCAGTTATTCTACTGAGCCTTCTCCCCAGCCCCACCCCCCCCTTTTTAAAAAAAAAATTATTTATTTATTTATTGTGTGTGTGTGTGTGTGTGTGTGTGTGTGTGTGTATGGCCAGCTCAGCCCACCAGGGGGCGGGGCTGGCTGGCATGTGGTGCTGGGGGATCGAACCGCGGTCCCTGTGCTTTGCTTGGCCTAGCTTGTTCTAAATAGGTGCTTTAGACCACTGAGCCATCTCACCAGCCCCCCACCCCCCTTTTTTAATGTATTTGGTACAGGGCCTCACTATGAAGCTCAGATTCATAGTGATTCTGCTGTTTCAGCTTCCCCAGCACTGGGATTACATGTGTGCACCATGCCTGGTCTTGGTGGAGAGCTCATCGAGCCCAGGGTGTGGCTGGCATGGCATGTGATACCAGGGATTGAATCCACTTAGACAACTGAACTATATCCATGCCCCCCCCCTTTTTGAGACAGGGTTGCTATGTAGCCCAGGCTAGTCTAGATTTCACAGTGATCCTCCTGCCTCAGCCTCCTGAATGCTGGGATTACAGGCATGTGCCACTATGCCCAGCTATGCTTGTCAGTTTTAATATGAAGAGAGTAAACACAGGGTGAATTGAGCAAAAATTGTGCACTTCTGGAGAGAGATGGTGCTTGGAGCATTTAGGGACCCTGAGTATGGAGGCAGAGCAGGCATTAGGTTCTCCAAAGTCTAGGAAGGACTCTGAGGACAATGTTTTGTTGTTGTTGTTGGTGGTACCTGGGATCGAACTCAGGACCTTGCACTTGCCAGGCAGGTGTTTATACCACTGAGCAGTCTCCCCAGCCCTAGGGCAATGGTTCTTCCTTCTAACCTCTGCAGAGATCTGCCTGCTGACCCGGGGCCGGCGCACAGCCAGCGTTCGGGCCGACACTTACTGCCGCCTCTACTCCCTGAGCGTGGACCATTTCAATGCTGTGCTTGAGGAATTCCCAATGATGCGCCGAGCTTTTGAGACTGTGGCCATGGATCGGCTGCGCCGCATTGGTGAGGCCTGTCCACCCTGTCAGCGCTGGGTTCATACGAGGAGCCCAGCACTTCTGTGTCCCACTCCAACCCCCTGCCCTCCCAGTCCCAGCAAGTGCTCGAACAGGGCTCTCAACCCTGGCTTCCTGGCTTCAGCCTGTCTTACCCCTGGAGACATCATTGAAGTTCCCATGCCCTGGGCCTCCTTCTGAGTACCTTCTGAGTTATTCCTTCTGAGTTACCATCTTGGGCCAGGAATGTAACTCAGTGGCACAGAGACCACCTGCAAGTACAAGGTCCTGAGCTCGATTCTCAGTATATATAAAAAAAAAGACAAGCTCTCCATCTCCGTCTATACCCATCCCCTCCAGCCCCATCTCCAGTCCCTGGCCCCAGCAGCTTCTCCCTACTCCTGACTCCTCCCAGGTACCTACTCTCAACCCCACCCCAGCCCTTGACTCCACCTAGGTGGCCTTACATTCTTTGATATCCAAACTCTATCCCAGATTCCTCCCCTACCCTTAACTCTTCCCTCCTGGGGCAACTTCTAGGCAAGAAGAATTCCATACTGCAGCGGAAACGCTCAGAGCCAAGTCCAGGCAGCAGCAGTGGCATCATGGAGCAGCACCTGGTTCAACACGATAGGGACATGGCCCGCGGTGTTCGGGGCTTGGCACCAGGCACAGGAGCGAGGCTCAGCGGGAAGCCAGTGCTGTGGGAACCGCTGGTGCATGCGCCTCTGCAGGCGGCTGCTGTGACTTCCAACGTGGCCATTGCCCTGACTCACCAGCGGGGCCCTCTGTCCCTCTCCCCCGACTCTCCAGCAGCCCTCTTGGCTCGTTCTGCTCGGCGCTCAGCAGGCTCTCCAGCCTCCCCGCTAGTGCCCCTCCGAGCTGGTCCTCTGCTGGCACAGGGGCCATGGGCATCCACCTCCCGCCTGCCTGCCCCATCAGCCAGAACCCTCCATGCCAGCCTCTCCCGGGCAGGGCGTTCCCAGGTGTCCCTGCTGGGCCCTCCCCCAGGAGGAGGTGGACGTAGGTTAGGACCTCGGGGCCGCCCGCTCTCAGCCTCCCAACCTTCTCTGCCTCAGAGGGCCACAGGTGATGGCTCTCCTAGGCGAAAGGGCTCAGGAAGTGAGCGCCTGCCCCCCTCAGGGCTCCTGGCCAAGCCTTCGGGGACAGCCCAGCCACCCAGGCCACCAGTGCCTGAGCCAGCCACCTCCCGGGGCCCCCAGCTCTCTGCCAATATGTGAAACCCTTGGTTACATAGGCCTTAGCTCTTAGGGTGCAACAGTCTGTGCCCGAGGGCAGATACCTCTTGGGGAAGGCCCAGAGGACTCAAAAGACTGCCCTGTGGGAGCGCCTCCCTTAGCACCATGAAGATGTTCTCTGTATCGTAAGCTCAAACAGCCACAGCTTATCCGAAATCTTAGTCCAGTCACCCATTTGTCGTGTGTACCGAGCCTACTACAGTGAAGGCACTGTGCTGGCCACTGTATGTCTCCACTGCCAGGTAGAAGTGACTCAGAGCCCTCTGCCCATTGCTTCTCGGCCTTTTGGCTAAGATCAAGTGTAGAGCCCTCTGCCCGGGGTATTTCCTGGCCCTAGTCCTGCCAGGTGCAGGCCTGGGCCTATGACCCCTCCCTTTACTAAGCACAAGTACTTGCCACCGCCATCACTGCCAAGTAACTAGATGCTGCTGTTTCCTGGCAATGGCCCTCTAGGTCCAGCCTGGTGTGGTTATCTTCCTGTCCCCTTAGTGTAGTTGGGTACTGTCAACTACCTGTGCCTCCATTGCTGCTGACAAAAGTCTTGGGTCCCGAGTGTGGGCATCCACCTTTGGCCTCTTACTGCCGCCTGTGGACCCTCCTAGTCTACATCCTTTGAGTGGGAACACGCATCTGTCTATGTGGTAGGACTGTCTTTGCCTAAGCTAGAAGCTGCCTTTCCCCTGTGCCCTAACCCTGTGGTGTCCTCCCGTGAGGCTAAGGGACAGCTGGCACCTCCTTAGTGTGCTAACCTAGATTCCACTGGGTGGGGTAAGTAGCTGAACCCTTATGTGACCTTTTTCTTTGTCTTATTTGTTATTTCTTAATTTATTTTTTCATATGCTAATCTCACTTATCAACTCATTTTGTTCACCAATTACTTTTCTGTCCCTCTGTGCCAGCTTCTGTTGTTCTCCAGCAATGCCATCAGCAATATGCAAACCTTCTCCCTATGTAGGTAAGGGCAGGAGGGGCTGCCTGAGGATGGGAGGAAGATGTTTTTCTTTCTTTCTTTTCTTTTCTTTTCTTTCTTTCTTTTTTTTTTTTTAGATGTTTTCACTGAGGGGTTTTTCTCTTCTGCATCTGCTGTTGGTGCAGGAGGAAGGGGAGGGCCTGAGGTACCAAGCCTAGGGAAGGGCAGCCCAGCCAGCCCCTCTGCCTTCTCAGGGACAAGAGTAATCCCTGACCTGTCCGTTCTGTCCCCTCTCCTTTTCTGCAGCATCAAAGAATGTGTGGGCAAGGGCCCTAAATCTCCTTTTTTGGGGGGAGAGTTCTGGGGTTCTTGGTGTGTGGGAGTTTTATTATTGTTCTCAAACAGCTGGGTTTAAAAAGAAAATAGATACTCAATTTGGCTCCTGGTTTGTGTGTGGGAATAAAGTGGGTATGAAGGAATTTCTGGGTGCAGGAGGGGACCCTGGACCTAGCCAGGTGTGAGGCGTCATGACGGTGGCCAGGGGAGTAGTCTGTAAGCCCAGTGCCAAGGCTATGCTGAACAAGATGAGCCTTCCCGGTTGGCTCTTGGTTCACCCTTCTGTCCATCTGTCCTAACCTCCCCAAAGCATGCTTTGATGTCTCTATCAGTCACCACAGGGGGTAGCCTGTCCTGGTTTAAGGCCATCAGGAAGAGGTAGCATTGTCCCCAGATGATCATGAAGGCCATAAAGGAAAATGACAGGCGGCACAGACATAAAGTGTTGTGAAATCATGATTCTGGGGAGACTGGACAAGGCAGCCCCGTGTCCTCTCCCCCAGGCCCAGAGAGGGGAACCATGGAGGAAGGGAATTAACGAGCCAAGCTGAGATTAAAGGATCAAGACATGTTAGGGATTGGATACAGAAAATGTGGGATCGGTGCTGCCAGGCAGCTGGAGCATAATTGGACGCAGACTTTCAGGGGCTATGAGAAGAAGAGAGGAGGAGGGGTGCCCTAGAATGGAGCTAGATGGCAGATGTGGCCTCAGCTAGGGAGCATGGGAGTACAGAGACAGAGGAGGGGCATGTGTCTGAGGGAGCCAAGTGGGGAGGCACAGACAGGGGCTGGGTCGCAGGAAGAGGGACTCTCAGGAGATGCTCAGGACCCGCATGATGTTGGTATAGCCAGAGCCAGGTCGCCAGCCTGTCACCACAATCACCAGATCCCCAACACGGAGGAAGCCACGCAGCTTTCCTGGGGGAAGAAAAGATGGCAGTCAGTCACTGAGGAATGCAGGGCTGTTCCTTCATGAGAAGGTGCCCCAGTGTCCACCTCAAGGCCACCCTGAAGGGAATGAGGAGCCTGGAGTGAACTGGGGCACTGCAGGGAACGTGACCACCATGGTATGTTAAAAGGGGCTGCATGAACCTGGGTGGAATGGTGTACATCTTGCTAAGTAGCAAGCTGAGGCTATGCTGATAAGAAGAGATCAGGTACAATTATATGACAGTTGTAAATTCGATTTTAGTTCCAGATGTTCCAGCTTTTTCCAATGTCACAATGGGCTCTAGCCACCTGGTATAGGCAGCAGCTGGGCTCTGCCCTCTCCGCCTCTTCATGGCTCAGCTTAACCTCCCCTGTTTAGACTCAGAGTTACTTTTCAGTCTTAGTGACTCTTGGATGGGAAATTTGAAAGCAGAGGAGATAGGCAAGGTGTGGTAGGTGTGGGAAGCTGGTTTGGAGGTCTTCCATGTAAGTGCCAGGGAGGGAGGAAGGTCTTGGAATCTCACCACTTTCGATACCAAATTGGACCCGGCGATCCACATCATCTGCCCAGATGGCCTCTGGAGGTTCCCGGTAGAGCAAGGGGAAGACTCCTCGGCATAGGTGGATCTGGCGTGCAGCCTGAGCAGAACGGGTGACTGCAATGACTGCTGCCCGAGGTCGGTACCGAGACAGAAGCTGGGCTGAGCTGGAGGAGGCGGAGAAGGTCAGCCCAGAGCAGCAGAAGGGTGTTGAACCAATAAACAAGGTGTCACCAATGAGCTATGTGACCTGGAGTAGGTCATCGTACTGCTCTGGGCCTCGGGTTCCATCCTGTGTAACAAGTATAAGCATAACTTCCCTTCCTACCACACAAGGAAGACAAGGAGGTAACAAAGGCAAATGAGATAAAGAGAAAACTCTTGGGCTGGGGAGATAGCTCAGTAGAACAAGTGCCTGCCTGGCAAGTGCAGGGTCCTGAGTTCAATCCCCGGTAACGAGAGAGAGAGAGAGAGAGAGAGAGAGAGAGAGAGAGAGAGAGAGAGA